GGGAAGGGGGCCAGGGCTCTGAGCACGCCTCCTCCCGGAGCTGTGCACAAGGAGTGCTGAAAGCAATTATTGATCAGAACAGAACAAAGAGGAAGAAAACATGACTGACTACCATGAATATTAAGAATCTTTTTTCCTAGCTGTTCAGAGAGCCACCAGGTTAATTCAAAAAGGCGCAGAGTTTATTTCTAGATCTACTGTACTTCCATGTCATAACGTAAAATAACTATGTACCCATCGTATGCATAGCTGTTAATTTTAAGCCACGCCGAAGCCACACGTGGTTAATGGTGGGGTGAGGCAGCTGGGCGCTCGCTCCAGGAGGAGGAGGAGGCCGGCGGTGCAGGGTGGGCTCGGGGCCTGGAGCCAAGCCCAGCGTTATCTCAGCTGTCACCATGAACTCTTCAACCCTCACAGATGTTAAACAGCTTCACATTTGTCCCCTCTGTCACAGACTTTCTCTTTCAAAAATTCTGGCAGTGTAGGGCTGCAGGTAAGCTGGAAGCTGGGTCCTGTGTGGTGAGCCCCACTCGCCTGAGCCTTGCTTGCCTAAGCCCCGCTTGCCTTAGCCCCACTCACCAGATCACTGCCCAACTGCTGCAAGCAAATGCTGGTAGGTCGCTGTTTCTCCGTGTCCCCTGGGACTTGCTGACCTCTCTGGCCAGGCAGTGGGCTCACAGAGCCGAGCAAGTCCCAGCCCTCTCCGAGGGCCAGACTCCAGGCTGGTGGTACCCGTGAGCAGGATGAAGTTCAACTCTGCCTGAAGCACCGAGCTTCACCAGGAGGCTGAAGAGGGCTCCTGCTGTCCAGGCCTGCCTCCCGGAGACACGGCTGAGCTGTGGAACAATGGTACTGACGGTCTGAGCTGAGCAGGGATGGCCCTCTGGAGTCTCCCAATGCTCAGGCATAGCCGGCGGGCCAGGGGCTGCCTAAGCCATGTTCCTGGCTCCCAGGTGGGCACCTTTCGTGGAGAAAAAGACCCTGTCCAGAGAAAGTGCAGAGCTTCAGGTGCCCTGCAAGGTCTTACAGCCTCTGGGCAGTACTCACAAGGGGGCAACTTTGGGTCCAAGGCTGTGCTCACCCAGCCCCGTTGGCTCCAGGTGGGGAGCGGCTGCCCACCGTCCCCAGGGTGCTCCAGGCTGGCTGCCGGGGTGAAGGCAGGGGCTGCAGCTGGACTTCAGCAGACATTGAGTGTGTTTGCAAAAGGATTAAGCAAAATAAGCCACAGGGTTTCTCCATCCCCCCATTCATGGGGCCTAGTCACTTCTTCATCTTTCTTTGTCTGTGTGATATTTAAAGGCCTGTATTTTAAGCCCACTAGTCCCCTCAGGAGTGCGTTACAGGCTGGCTAAACATTATGTGGTCATCTGCAATGCCACAAGGACCTGAGCTGCACTCTCCTCCACTACAAAGCCCCTGTGCAATGCTGCTTTTGGTAGCGGGCACGGCGCAGGCACAGCTATTGGCGTCTGGTGTCTGCTCAGCTTTATTTTGAGGTATTTAAACTTAGCAAACTGGCTTTTTTTAGGTCCATATGCACAGATCAGGTGGTCACCTGTGGCAATATGTTTATTCACAGATCCTAGCTGCTTTCTGGGAACAGCCTTCTCTAAACATAATTAGGGCTATTTAAGTAGCTGCTTGCAATTACCCCTCGGTTCACACAAAACACCACATAGTCCCTCATTGAGCAATAACTCCTGGAGATACAAGGGTGAAAAGCCACAGGCAACTTGCTATTGAGTGCCTCAAAGATTTTTATGATCCTGCTGTAAATGGCTGTTTACTTTTGAAGAGCTGCACACGTAGTATACTCTGCGGCTGTATCAGTTTTCAAACTAGCAGATTTACCCGGCAGTTCAACAGTTGCTAATATCCTTTAGCCTCCTTTGCCTTTGCCCGTGTTAAGGAGGCAGTAGATGAAGAAAAGCCCGATTCAGAGCCGGATGTGCGTTTGACTGGTGATACAGCACGTCCTTCATCTCTGGTAAGCAAGCTCAGGAGGAGCACTAGGGACAGCTAGGAGAGGAGGAATGGGAAAGCCTTGGCACAAATAGGAGTGGTGAAGCCTGGAAGGTTGCACAACATCAACAGAAGACTGTTTTCATGTGATGATGACCATGTTCCTTTCCTTGGCATCTCTCCTCACCCCAAGACTACAAGGCTTCTTTTTCCTCTCCTCCTTGCCCTCTCCTTCCCCTCTTTCTCCTCCACTGTGCCGTTTCTTGCCTTCTTTCTTTGCTCCCTGACATTCATACCAGCCTCCCAGGCTCCACCCGTAGTGGCAGCTGCTCCCTCTCTCACGTCTGCCTGGCCCCGCTCATTCCCACCGGGCCACTCATGTACACCACTGGCTCTCCCTCCACCTGCCTGGCTTGGGATGAAGGGTTGGGGTCCTTCAGAAGACAACTTCTCAGCACCGACAAGATGGAGAGTAGACACAAGTATTCACCTCTCCAGAGAAATGATTGCTTGCTTTGAAAAAAAAATAAAGACACCTTCAGATCTGGGGGATTTGCTTGGTGCCTTCTTGTCACCAGACACCTTGGTTTTGATGAGAAGAACACACCACTTGGGAATGCTGAATTTGTATCTCTCACAGTGAGAATTTCAGTCAGAGAAGTTTTTGAAGGAACGTGCAATTCACCAACACATGTAATAACACATACAAGAACTTCCTCAAGAAACTCTAATACTATTTTAGGATTTTATTACTTTATTTTCCTAGAATTTTAGGAGTAATGTAAGAACGAGGAGCTTACACATCTTTATTAGAAACTTTGCATTCCCTGCACATACGTCATTGCTGCCTGATCCACACAGAGATTTGGGTGTCCAGGGAGCACAGAGCCAGGCCCAGTGCATTGGCTCACACAGGGGAGACCTGCAGCAACCATGCTACCCCAGGTAGCGCCATTCCTGCATATTCATCTAGCACTGCCACAAATAATACAATTATTCTGACACCAGCAGGGAAATAAGAAACGTGAAAAGATGAAAAAGCTGCTTATAAGCAGCTCCCCTCCCTTCGCAAAAGTGTTATCAGCTATTGCATAATGTAACATCAAGCAGGAAATGCGGTGCAAGTTTCCAGCACTACAGATGCTACTGAAAAACAAAGGAAGCTTTCCAAGCAGAAAAGAGGGCCAGAAGAAAAAAGTGTGAGCCATGCAGAAACCCTCCTGGTATTTCACGTCCCCTCCTGCTCGAGCAGTAATGGTATAAATACACACTCCAGTCTGCTAAGGTGAAATGCAGATCTTTTTCCTCGTTGTTCTGCCTTGGAGAGGACTGTCAGAGCAACCGGACAGTCCTTGTACCAGCTCCACACTGAAACTTAAACACTTCTGAAATCTACTAATAACATTTTTCCGAAGTATCACGGGCTAAGTCCTGGAAGAAGATGAAGCTGGGCTGACTGCAAGCAGAATTACAGTGTCTTTTCTAACAGGCTGTATCAAACAAACCAAATCCTATCGTCATTTTTAGACCTTTTTTGCCATGTTACCTGCATCTCTCGCACGATTTACATTTCATCGTTTTCCTTCCTGGTAACCAGTCTCACCTGTTACCCAGCCATTGCAAACCAGTGCATAACAGAGGGGTTTGAAGAAGGGCACTGTGTAGAATTTCTCCGTGTTGTTGACTACTGTGCCATCCGCACGGTGAGGAGAGAGACTGTGTAGAGCTCAGAAATCACACCCGTAAATGTTGTTGTCCATGGTTACCCCTTGCCCCGCGTACCTGCTGCGCAGCTGGGGGGAGGCAGCCCGGCACGCTGCCGGCCGTGGGCGCGTGGCTCCAACCACTCCCGCAGGGACTCAAGCTTTGGGATTAGGGCGGCTCGGCTCCCATCGTCGTTGTTGCACTGTTAAAGGGTGCACTGACACGTGTGTCGTACAAATGAGACGACACAAAAAGAGACATGGGGAGGTTAACTCCAACAGTTTCCTTGGTGTTTCACTGCCGTCTGGGCTCCCCACATTTTTTTTCTGCAAGTTGCCTACATGTTATTTCAGTGGCGAAGCTCTTCAGATTTTGTCCTTCCTCCTGCCCTAAATAATTTAATTTCTGGGATTCCAACAAGGCCATCATGCTAAATGGATTATAAAACTTACTTGCTCTTTAGGCTCAGCTGGGACAATGTTGCCCCTGCAAGGACTCACGCTACTTCGAGCGATGTTATTCTGGATCTATGCAAGTGTCGGTGAGCAGAACTTGGCCCCAGACTCGGCTCCAGCGGGTGCTGAGCTATCAAGTCATCTGGAATAAGAGTCTCATTTTCAGCGCAGTGCAATTTTCTCCACAATGATGTTATCTTTGTTCCTCGGTTTCTGGCAGCAGAGCTACTCACACATGCTATTAGCAGATGGCAGAAGACATACATGGAATTTGCTCTCAGAACATTTCTTCTATTCTTCCTCCCAGACTGAAGAAGTGCAAATTCAAGCTAAAAGCTTATACTAACTACAGCCCTTTTCCAAACAGGACTAGAGATAGTTAAAAGCAGGCTCCAGTAGAAACCTCTCAAATATTTCAGTCTGCTGTAGTTTAACTACTCAGCACATACCCTTTCAGTCAGAATTGCAGGGAGAGCATTTCTGTAAAGCCATGCTCCTCAGTGCCCTTATGTCAGCTCCTTTTTGGGATCAGCTGTTAACAAGCAGCAGGCATTGCAGGAAGGCAGAAAACTTCCATGCAGTTTCCCCAGTAAGTTGAGGCATCCATCAGTGGCCCACAGATAACTGCTGTGGGCTTGGCAGAGCTTGGTGCACTTTGTGTAGACCAAGACAAACACATAAATTTAAGGATCAGGCAAACAAATTTCCAGAACAGGCATGAATTCAGGAGCATGGACATGTGCACGTTGTTCAGCCCCCAAAAGGAGGAGGAACGAGCCTGATGAACTCCACATCATCCCGTATTTATGAGCTGAAACTAAACTGGCCTTCCAGTGGGGCTGCTGTCAGGAGGAGTCTGGGAGCCACTATTGTAATCCTGTGCTTGAGCGCCCTCCTGAATCACCGTTCACTTTTGATCTGGAAGTCTTATCTAGGAAAAGAAATGGCTTTTTGAAAGATCTTCTTATTTGGGGTTCTTCTTTCCAATGTATTATGATTTTTTCTGCCTCCCTAAACTGAGGCGAATCCCGCTCAGAGTTGCTCTTGCATTTGCTGGAAAACAAACACAGATGAAAGACCGCCGCTTTGACACTGCCTCAGCCTTCAGATCTTACATGAGCACTTATTTTTTGTCTGTTCTATTTTTTCCCCAAAGGACAATTTTATTCCAAGTTCATGAGCTCGTGCTGAAAAACAGCAGAACATTTCTAAAGCCCCCAAATCCTGTGGAAACTCAAGTCTAACATGTTAGATCCAAATTTAAACTTGGTGTGTTGACCCCACGTAGAGCCGAGCAGAACAATCTCATGTCAACAAGAAAGGTGCCATAGTTCCAGCCTTTCGGGGTAGTTGTGCTTGGGCACCCGCTCCACAGTTCACCGTGTCCCTGCCCAGCTGCCACCACCCACTCCTGCTTCCCCTGGAGGCACCATTCCCAGCCATGAACTGCCTCCTGGAGGTGGGTGCCTCAGCCTACAGGCAACCTCCTTGCACCCAGTGACCTGCTGGTTAGAGAGAGCTTGTCACTGGCAAGCAGGGCTCCAATTAAGCCTCTGCCTGAAGGGCCTTGAGCCCCACATCTTGCTGACTCCTGTCATGCCTCGGTGCTGAGGTGGGCAGCTGTGCAGCCTCTGGCTGGAGGTGCTCCCCCGAGTGCCACAGCGTTGCTGGGAGCAGCACTTCCACGGGGTCTCACCCCAAGACGCACGAGGGTCTTGGCCCAACAGAGAGATGCGGAGAAGAGCCAGGGGCGCGAGTCCCAGCGGGAACAGGGCTGGACGACACAGGGTGCCCTGTGGCAGAGCCGTACGCCCTGGCACATGCTGACCGCCGCAGGAGCTGTGCTGGCCAGCGCTGGACTTGCAGGGCACCTTCACATTTGATTTGGGATTTAGACACCTGTCTGCAGTTCCAGGTGCCGATGCCATGCCTTGGAGTATGAGCCCACTCATTCTTAGTAAACCATGGTCAAAAACCCCAAAGAGAAAGATCTCAACCATAAATCAGGTACATGCTGCAGACCACAGTGGGACACAGTCAAAACCTGTCTTCAGAGGACTTCTCAGGCAGAACAGGTTATGATGCCCCATGGATACTGGAGGTTACTGCTATTTTATAAAGCAAGATGAAAGACTGGACTATCAAAAATTCTGCTTGCTACCTGTTTGGATTTAGAGTTTCAATTTTCAAGCCACTACCTCAAATGTGAAATCTGATTTTTTTTTTTTTTCCCACACTTGGTCAAATAATTAGAAACTGCTTCAGTGGTACGGTTATCCTGTTGATGCTCTTGTCTTTCTAGCCTGCCTCAGAGAATTTGTTCCTTTTGTTAGAAAACGCAGACCCCAGATGGGGTACCAACTACTTGCTTTTATTAATGGAAGTCTTTACATTCCAAGATTATTTAAAATAATTTGCTTCCATACAAATGTACTTCTTATGGCACACTGTGCTCTCTCATCAACGATGGAAATCCAATTCCCTAGTTTCAAGAAGTCTTCAAGTTTTTTGGCGTTGCTGTTTTTACACCGTACGAATGCCCGTCTCTGCATACCCACGTGATTCTGCCGACAGTTCAGAGCAGAGGGGCAGCATGTAAAATGCTGGTTTGTGTCTTTGCCAATACTAAACTATTGAAGTCATACTTCTATGGTTATACCTTCCACTGAAAAGAGTGCGTGGCAGAGGCACTTTTGTGCCAACCATGGAATTTATTTCCTTAAAAAAAGTATTTTCCCTAAAGCCTAATTGAGATTGCAGCCCTTGATAACTCACTTGCTTTGTTCCAGTGTCAGGAGCATGCAGTGGAAAGAGCTGAAACTCTGCAGAAAGGGCATGGCTGGACCCTGGCATGAACACTGGTGGCCAGACAGCCAAGTGATCTCCTGTGTGCAGGGCAACCAAGGGCAGAAGGAAAGAAAAGACATTGGGGGAAACCAGGATTTTTGTTATATTTTTGTTGTACTTGAGGAAAAAAAAAGAATTTGTCATCTGGCTTAGAAAGCTAAGTACGATGTATTCTACAGTTCCTACCTAACTCTATGAAACAGCTTATGTCAAGTGCTATTGATACCCCACATCTCTCCCATGTTACTTTCTTTTGAAGTTGAAAGCCAAAAAGCTACTTTGAGTTGGCTACGTTTATTTGTCCTTTCCTCCCCTTGAAGCAAACATAATCAATAAAATTCCCTGGTGTATTCCTCTCCTTCCTGAAGTTTCTTTTCTCATTTGCCCTCCTCCACATAATCAGACCCCTTGTCACACATGGGTGAACCTAGAAAGTCATTTAGAGCGGGAACCACGTGAACCAGTTCAGTAAACATCAGGTAATTGTGCCTTAGAGGCCTTTTTGAAGGTCAAATATTTCTGGGTAATTTTTCCAGCTACTTTCTTTGTTAAATGAAAGCCCACTGAAACTGGGAAAAGAACAAGGTGGCTTTGTAAAAGTCTCTAACTCGCTGGCCCAGTGAATCCGCCTGCCCCAAATCCCTGCATAATTTCCTTCTCCATTTTCTTTCCGAGACTCTGCCTGTGCAGCCCAGTGAATCCGCCTGCCCCAAATCCCTGCATCTTCTCCATTTTCTTTCCGAGACTCTGCCCGTGCCAAGTTTGTATTGTTCACCGCTGCCCTGAGAATGGCCGGGATTTTCAAACACGCTTCCCAATAGATTCTTACACTTCTAAGTCACTTCCAAGCTTTTGCAAAAAAAGGCTTACTTTACATTTACATCATGATATGATAACAATCACCTGTGAAACACACAGACAGACACACAGACATACAGACAAACCAGAATGCTTGTCAGACTGGCAATCTGTGGTTGCTTTCTGTGCGATTTCTCCAATGCCGAGTGCTATAGGTGAGTTCACACTGCGGCTTTTCCTTCCAGGCATTATAAATTTGGGTATTACCACTAACAAACCAATAAACTTTGTGATAATAAGTAAGAAATTAAAACATTGATTTAAATGAACTGACAAGCGTTACAGCCACAAGATGGTCACATAATCCCAACTTTCATACAAAACTAGACAAAGAACATCAAACAAAATCAAAGAAACTTTATGTTCTTCTTTAGTATGTGCCATTTCAACTACAGCAGTAAACAAATTTGTTTTAAACTAAGAATGGGAGCACAGAGGAACTTTGCTAAATAAAATATCTATTTTAGGAGAGATTTTAATTTAATAAACTGGACTTTTTTTCTGAAAAACAACTTGTAATTGAGAACAGAACAATGCCACTTAGGCTGTATATTCATCAAAAGCACAGGCTTTTTTAAATTGCAGAACCTAGCACAACAAGGCCCTGGTTTGTCCTCCAAGGAATGCAATACCAATAAATAACAATGCGGTGAGTTCCCAATCCCAAATTCTTTACTGTTGCTCCGGACGCTAGAAAGGTTATGCAGAGTTTGCACCGCACAGGATCCCCTCCCTGCATAACACTTGAATGCGCAAACTATTTCCAGACTCTCGACAACAATCGTTACACAGACCCGCATGTGGTGGTGGTCGACACAGACCTGCATGTGGTGGTGGTCACTGTCAGATATACTTGCAGGGGTGCAGGTGAATGGGCAGGTATATGTTGAAATGGGCTAATTTTAATTAAGGAAAACATGAACACTGACAAATATATTTGAGAAAGTAATTTTAATGTAATGCCAGTGCATTTACTGCTAATCCCCAGTATGGCTGCATAGGGGAGCACGTCACCCAAGAACAGAAGGGCCGAGCCCTGCACCCTGCACCAGGCAGCGCTCGCTGAGAGCTGAGCTCCACTTTCCATTGCACACTGGACCTTCTTCCTCATGGGTTCCATCCCCTGTGGGCTCTGGGTGGGGGACGTGGGACCGTCTTCCTGATCCTTCCCACTGCTCCTCCAGAAAGGAGACAGGCAAGCCTCCCACCTCTGCAGTGTCTGCTGCCATGGGGGGTCCACGTCCTCCTGGGGAGGAAAGCCTTGCCCCACTCAGCCCCAGTCACTGCTTCGGACTTGCTGTCCCCAACACAGTGCTTTGCTCCAGCCAGAGAGTTAAAACTGTGTTTAAAATACATAAATTCCAGAAAAACTCCATACCCCATTTAAAGATTTAGCTCAAATTCCTGTGCCATTCTGCTCGGGACAGGAAGGAGAGCTTTTGCAAGAATTAACAAAAAAGAAGCTGCAAAATGCCCTCACAAGCTCGTAAAGAAAAGGAAAGCAGTCAGTGCCTCGGCACAGAGCGTCTGGATTAGGCTGATGGATGCTGGGCTCTTGGGGCTGTCAGAGCTGTTTGCCTCATTGATGGATCCCACAAGAGCCCTTCTAAAGCTTTATCCTAAAGGAATGCAGTGTCCAGCAAGGACTGATAGTGATCGGAGTGATGAAGTCCCCGCAGGCATGTGCTTCCAGGGAACAATGGGAGTTAACCGCATGCTGGGGAGAAGTCTCTCATCGGTACAGCAGGGGCAGAGCAGGGCGAGGTGATAGATACTGTTGGCTTAGAGAGAGAAAATGAAAGAACAGATTGAAGGCTGGAAGAAATCTGCTCTTCAGTGGCAACTATTGCTGGTGAATTAAACTACTCCTTTCACTGCATCTTCTTTGGGGGTGCTGCTGAGGGACCTCTGAAGAGCAAGGAACATCGACAGCTCCCCTGTGAAGCTTCACGAGGCTTTCTGTGTACTGCAGATGACTAGTGCTGGCTATGTATCTACATGGCTAAGTACTGAACAAAAGTTACTTGTTGTCATCCCAATCTATTGGTGCTGCTCTTCCTGGGTGCAGAGTCATTAAGGCATCTCACCAGCCATACTGGGCAAAGTAGTCATCTGCCACACACCTGATCGAACCTACAGGAACAGCATTTACTCACTACAGTTGCTCCAGGTCTGGGTTGAAGATAAAACTCATTAGTTTTCAGGGCATTCAGATGCTTTCTGGACTATTTTATTGCTTTTGGAGTAGCTGTTGGGGGTAAAATGACTGGAAAAGCTGAAGGATGTCCTTTGGGGGCACATGCTAAGTAAGAGCAAATCAAGATAAAGTGAAGCTCCTTCCTGCCTATGGCCCTGGACTACTGAGACCTGGTGATTATTTCTAGAGCTTCCACAAAAAGTAACTTTTGCAAGCTGTCGTTATTGCACAAGGATCTGCACCTCTACAAGGAAAACGCTGTGCAAACCAAGACAATGAAAATGACTCCTCTGTATCGAGCTCGTCTGGAGAACGCAGGCTGCCTCAGGCTTTAGACGCTGTTGAAGATACAGGCACATAAAATTTGTCTGAGGTTCATCCAGCCCAACAGTGTCTCCAAAAGTTGTCACTACCAGCTCCTCAGGGGAAGGCAACTGATGTACTTGGGGCTGACTGTATTGCTTTAACCGTATTCTTGGAGACTATTTCAAAGATTTCCAGCAGAGGCATCAGAGGCACCAAAACCATTTCCAGTCTTCTGGAAAGTATGCACTATTCCCAAGATTTTGCAGACCAGGAACAGAAACAAAGCACAGTTTCCAAGAGGTTGTTTAGTAAAAAACCTTGACATTAATTAGCAGATCAATGGATAACCTCTGAAGCCTTTTAAAAGGCTTAGCTACATCTGCTGACTTCCATTTCTCAGCCATCAGTGCTGACTTAGACAGTGAGATCCACACCGCAGCTAGCTGAGCAGGTTTCATGTTCTTCTAGAACTCCTGAGCAGGAAGACCTTATTTTTGGAGGTTTCTTATTCAACTTAGCGATTTGCTGCTCCTTGGCTGACAGCTGAAGTGGAGACAGGCCCTCCTGCTCACCCCGTACAGCATGGTTCTCCTGAGAGAAGGTCCTCCTCAAGTGTCTCCCCAGCAGGTGCAGACACTGGGATTTGTGGCATTCAGAGCTGTGCCTCCCCCCATGCTCCTTTTGCACTGCAGCCACCAGCTGGGCTGCTTGGTGGCATACGCAGCTAAGCTGCTCTCTGGACATGTGCTGCTTACAGCAGCAGGCATCAGCTCAAAGACAATTTCTGAGAAGCTCCATTTGAGACATTTAGGGAACGTGACTTAATTACGTAACTTTCTTAGACACAAAAATTTGCATAATGCTATGGCTGCCAACATCAGGTCGACCCACCTTGCCCCAGCAATAGTCACGGTAAGGCACGCTGCTGCTGCACAAAACTTTCCAGCCATGAAGTTTGTGTGGGCTGGAAAGACCCTTGGGTGCCAGAAGAGATGGTGGATGAGCTAGAACTGCTAGACTCCATATAGGGGCTGCAGATGAGAGAGCCGGAGACAGAACAAGATGTTTTCAGGGTGTTTTTGTCAACAGAAAAGGGACCAGGTGCTCCTGGGCTGAGGGAGTGCTGAAGATATTCAGCTCTTGGTAGTAGGGGGGCAGCTTGAGGAACACTCACTAAACTGGACCCTCCCCATTTGTCACTGACGTTCGGCTTGCCAGGCACTGCTGCAGCCAGCTTCCCTTCTCCCCTCGCTTTTGCTGCCTGGCTCCGGCAGGGAGCACAGGCAAAACAGCCGTTTCCAGGCTGCACAGCACCTTTTCATAGCTGCGGGAAGAATCACCAGCCCTTTCCTGCAGTGCGTGGGATGGAAAAACCCTGGCTGAGCAAGGTTTGTGTGAGACGGAGCGCCCCCCGAGTGACAGTAATACACGATGCAGCACAGCCACCACACTGGGTGCCCTGCTTGGGTATGGCTACAAGCTGTGAAGAAGAAATCACCCGGCCGTGCACCACATACTGTTAGGGGCCACTCACAGCATTATTGTGCACCTGTACCATTCCACAGAAATACATGTTCTTTAACAAGTAAGAAAAAGTGTGCTAATTCTCAGTGGTGCCCAGCGACAGGACAAGGGGAAACGGGCACAAGCTGAAACATAAGAGGTTTCAGTTGAGTATGAGGAAGAATATCTTTACTTTGAGGGTGACAGAGCACTGGCACAGGCTGCCCAGGGGGGTTGTGGAGTCTCCTTCTCTGGAGATATTCAAAGCCCGCCTGGACGAAGTCCTGTGCAACATGTTCTAGGGGAACCTCCTTTAGTAGGGGGGTTGGACTGGATGGTCTCCCAAGGTCCCTTCCAACCCTTGCCATTCTGTGATTCTGTGATTCTAATTATTTCTAGCATTATAACTGTCCATCACATGCACACACCCACAGTTGTCTCCACTGAGGAGCAAACACAACATCTTTTAATTAGTACTTTCTGCACAGTTAAAAAACTGTTTGACTTACTGTACTCTCTTCCCTTCATGCTTGCTTTGATTTCTTGAAGCAAGTCAAGATCCTCTCCCACTGCATTTATCTTGTGTTTGAAATGAAATATTTCTTAACGTGCACATGGAGATCTATTTTGAGTAAATATGAAATTCTCTAATTAGAAAAAAAAACAGAGACCAAACCATTTCAGTACTATCTGACTACAAACATGTCGTTTGCCCCCATTAATAGCAGTCTAAAACTGTAAAATATATGGTATAACATTTGCAATGTTTACATAACATATATATAGCATTTGTTAAAGACACATTGTCTTTTAAAATCAGCTACATTTAGACATTTAGGAACTTTCGGTTATTGTGTATATTCACAAACTGTAGTAAATCACATGATTTGAAAAATGCAGGGAATAAAATAGTATCTGTGAGTATCAGCACTACCTAAAAGAGCATGGCATCCAGACACTAAATCTCAGCTTGTATCCCTCCCTCCCACAAAATATATTTATTTTGTACATTACTTAGTAGTTTGGGGTCAAAATGCAGCCCAAGCTGGAAGAGGTCTAGTGGCATCTCTCCCAGGCTGTACGGGAGACAAGCAAGCACCCTTGGGACAACCCAGGGGCTGGGATGGTTTTGGCAGGCAGGGCAGGAGCCTGTATTGAGCAGGGGTGGACTTCTCCCTCTCCCTCTGATGGCGACCCTGAACTGGCACCATCTGGCAAGCATGTGTTCCCTGTGTAAGTATGGATATCTTTAATGAATGATACGCTGATTTCTTCTGCTGGGGCGGATGTCAGAAGTTCTCTTTAGTGTCAGAAATGTTTCATTCATGATTTCAGCTGCTCCTTCATAGAAGGAGCCCAAAGGAACAGGCTGCCTGAAGACAGAGGGCTCCTGCGGGGAGAGCAGCAGCAGACCCCCCGGTATCACTGCTGACCAGAAAACCTGGCTCAGAGTGGAAAGCAAGAGTATTAATTAGGATTAAAGGGAAGTAACTGGCTTAGTATAATATGACAGCTGTGCCAGAGAGAATGCCACGTTTTCTAGCTGCAATCCCTACTGTCAGATCTCTGTGTTACATTTTGGGTATTGGACAAATTGTGCTGGCTGCAGAATATTCTCTGTTACTGTAAGTCACTGGAGAGGGGCAGAATTGTCTATATTTAGGCCACCAAGTTCCCCGTGTTAATCTTCACTCCCTCTTTGTTTTAGTACTCTGCTTTCTATTTTTACCTTGCATATTCTGCAGCAGGTCTGGACGCTTGAAGAAGTCAGGGCATCCTTTCCCCAGAAGAATTAATGGCCGTGCTTGCAGTTTGTTATCCATTTTCTTCCTTCTGCCTATCTTCATGTGTGGGTTTTCTTATAATGCAGACTATAACAAATACTCCAACCAGAAAACAGCAGACCTGAAATGGAAAGCAAATGATAAATCAAATGGCAGTAGTAGAAAAGAAGGAAAGGGGTAATGTTTGTAGTGCAATTTTGCCTAGAATTTCAGCTGCAGATGTGCTTATTTAAGATTATGAAGGTACATTCGAAAAAGAAAGCAAAGGATTTGTGGATGACAGACACAACTCATAACAGCACAGTTGCCAGACTGAGACAGGAGCAATACTCGCTGCGTACCTCGTCCTCCATCAGCCAGGCTCCTGCCATACTCACAGCCAACAGCACCATATTCAGCTAGGAAAACAGCTCACTCGCTCACTACAAAGGGTGGTAAAAATTGGCACCACATAAATAAGACAGTCATATACTTATCATTGTAAGCCAGTGTTATTTCTGAGCATCTGACCTCTACATGATTTGAAACATGGGCTAAACCAGTGATATTAATTGGCATTTTCCAGTCATAGGACCTTCAGGAGCTTTGGTTTGCATTATTCATCAGTCTGAACAGAAGCCCACAGGACCACTTTGAGATGCTTTCCTTCTGATAGGACTGAGCCTGGCTGGCTGCCTCCTCCCTGAAACGACGGAGCAGTTCAGGTGCACTGGGGGAAGGGGTCGAGGCTGTGGCAGGACACAGGGTGCTTCACTGTGGCTCTGCATGCTGCTGCTGGCCCACTCCTGCCCTGGTCCTGGCCATTTGTCCTGCTTCCTCCAGTTCTCAGAAGGAACCTGATCTGGGCAGAAGGTTTTTCTTTTCCTCCAGCTTTCCTGGTTTGTAAACTCACACAGAGAGGCAATGTGCTTGCTGCTCTCCTCTGCCATCCTTCAGAACACAGGCAGTGCCTCCAAAGACTGCACCTTTGTCCTGATGACTTTCTACTTTCCACTGGGGTGGGGAGAGCAAGCAAAAGAGGTGAATTCAGAGGAAGAACAGCTGTGAGAACGGTCCCAAACCCATCTCCCCTCCCAGACAGCATGGGGGTCTGCGTTGGTCCCCCACCTTCCCTGGAGCTGTCCTGGGATGCTCCTCCAACAGCATCTTGCGTGCAGGTTTGCACTGAAGACAAGGAGCAGGCAGCTGCTGGCCCCCCGGGAGCTGCCTGCAATGCAGGGACATCCAGCATGGAATGGTATTTTGTACACTACCTTCCCTCACCATCTCTTGTCTTCTCAGATGTTGCTGCTGGACGCACATGGCAGGAAAGGAAAGCTAGCACAGCACTGTGGAGGGAGAACGCCTGGGAGAT